CCCCGTCCCTAAGGAAAATCCTGGTTTTTTGGTTTTTCAACGTCTGTTTAATCACGGATTTTTTCAATTAAATTTTTGATTTCCGTTTCCTTTGTCGAGCTCAGTGTACCTGGGCAAGGAGACTGAATAGTTTGTGTGGTTCATCTTAAAGTCTCCTGCCTGGATTGCATTTCTAAAGAAAAACAAATAATTGTAAAAAAGAATACTGCGTACGATTATCATATCAAATTATATTCAAGTGAAAAGGGGGAACCCATTATTGATTTCTACCTGAAAACCCTAAATTGATTTCTACCTGGAAAGAAGAAATTGACTTCAACCTTAAAACCCGAAATTGATTTTTACCTGGAAACCTAAAATTGGGTTCTTCTTGGAACCCCGAAATTGATTTATACCCGGAAACCCAAAATTGATTTCTACATGGAAACCTGAAATTGATTTATATCTGGAAACCCGAAATTGAGTTCTAGCTGGAACCCCGAAAATGATTTATACCTGGAAACCCGAAATTGATTTCGACCTGGAAACCCGAAATTGATTTCTACCTGGAAACCTGAAATTGATTTCTACCTGGAAATCCGAAATTTATTTCTACCTGGAACCCCGAAATTGATTTATACCTGGAAACCCATTACTGATTTCTACCTGAAAACCCTGAATTGATTTCTACCTGGAAAGAAGAAATTGATTTTTACCAATTGAAACCTGAAATTTATTACTACCTGGAAACTCAAAATTCATTTCAACCTGGAAACCCGAAATTGATTTCGACCTGGAAACCTGAAATTGACTTCAACCTTAAAACCCAAAATTGATTATTACCTGGAAAAACCTAAAATCGGGTTCAACCTAGGGAAACCAAATTTGATTTCTACCTGAAAACCCAAAATTGATTCCTACTTAAGGAACCCCGAAATTGATTTATACCCGGAAACCCGAAATTGATTTCTACCTGGAAACCTGAAATTGATTTATACCTGGAAATCAGAAATTGATTTCTACCTGGAACCCTTAAATTGATTTATACCTGGAAACCCGAAATTGATTTCGACCTGGAACCCCTAAATTGATTTCTACCTGGAAACCCGAAATTGATTTCTACCTGGAAACCCGAAATTGATACATCCTCTGTTTCACAAGATTTATCACTTCTGAGTTAGTAAAGCAGAGAAGAACAGATACAAAGAAACCTAAAAAAAAATTTTATTGTAAAGCGTCGTCGTATATATCAATATAATAAAGACGGTTTTTAATGTTTACCAATCTTTCAAACAGCAGCGGCACATAAACATACAAACAAGAAGAAGTTGTGAATTAACAGATTCGTTTTGTTTACTTGTAAAATTGTGATTTGAAAAATTCTTGTTGGGGATCAATGCATAATTTATAAAGTCGTCTTCAAATTATTGAAATAATCGCTGACCGCGGTATATTACACTTTAACAATAACAATTAACAGTGTACAGTTTCATAACAGATAATATGTTTTGATCTAAATTGAGATCAAAATTTTCCAAAGATGAATCACTTTAAAGGATTTTTTTCGTTTTTAGTGTGAAAATCATAAACGGTGATTTTTTCAATGATAATTTCCAATGACCCTATTGCTTTCTTTATTATACAGAGCGTCTCATATCATATTAGATTAGCTCCAAACTTTAACGTAAAAATAAAAAATAATACTCAAAAAACCTAGCGTTTCCTGCAAGAATTTTTTTTATTAGTCTTATTAAATGTTCTGATTAGTCCCGACAATCGTAATTTAGACCCATTGACGATCTAATGTGATGTGGGACACCCTGTAATAGATTCAGAACATTTTTAACTTATGCAGCTTATATGTACATCATTTCAGATCGCTCAAAAAAGAGAAAAAAATTTATGTTAATGTTCATAATATATTTTCTAGAAATATGTTAAAAGTAACAAAGGACATTTTTTATTTTTATTTTAAAGCCTTTTTGTATATTTGGTGTCAGTTGTCCTAACATTTCATAAGTTTAATTATTTTTATCTTTTCAGTTTTCATTAAATCAATTTTAAACCAAACCAAACTTGTAAACTTCAAACTGTCAAAACTTCTTCTATTTTGGTGCTACAAACCTTCTACAAACCTTCTACTGCAGACTTCGAATAATCGAAAATCCATTTTTCAAGGGCCTTTCAAATTAATTGTTTTTAGATCTGTAACATTCATATAAAAAAGGGATAGGCTATTGTAGCAGGAAAGTGATGTGTTGATCTTTCCTGCGATCATAAATAGTATTTTTTTTCCTCCTTCCATCATTCCCAGTTTCTCCCCCCACCCCTTTTTCCATCCTTCATTAAATCTAACGGATTTATTCCTGTTTGTGTTTGAATTCTATAAATAACCCAAGCCACGCGGAGAAACCGAAGCCAAGCGCCAAGTTCCGTTATTCCAGAAACCCGGGGGCTGGTGGGCTAGCCGGCCAGCTCACGGGGTACTAGGGTTAAATGCTAGCCCAGGGTGGAGCGAAACCAGGGGAAAAGAATCAGTTGATCATCAGCTCCCTTAACTAGAGGTTCCCTTGAAGATTCCCCATCACTCTGAAATAACTTCAATTCATAATATTTGATTTGTATAGTATCATCCTTTTAGTTTTTGTATCTTTGTAAATAATAAACTGTAAGAAAAACCAACTCGTTGAATATTAATAATACGAGTGATTGCCTTGATTAATTTTCCTTCATATGTAATACTATTTCAGACTGTTTTTTTACACAAACCATCATTTGTACCTTCTTGAAAGTGGTACCCTTCCCTATACATTAAAAACAAGATTTTTTAAATTACTATTCCAAAAAATAAAAAAATGTTAAGGTGATAGTATCAAAAATAAGAGTGATAGGGAAAAAAACTGGAGGGGAGAGGGCGCCTCCATTCCTGTTTAGGGTAAAAAATATCTCTAAACGTAATTTTAAAAGTTTGATTCACAACAATGCCCATGAAACCTTAATCTAATTACAAATTTGAAGATAACCCAACAACACTACACTTCACTACTAGGGTTTCCATTTTTCCGGAAAAAATTTCCATTTTGGAAATGGAATGATCCGGAAATTTGTTGCTTAAACCGGAATTCTGGGATATTTCCGGACCATATGGAAACTGGAATGTTTACGGTTTACGTCATGTAAACCGAAAAAAATTTCCGGTTTACAAAATGGAAACGGGAATTTTTCCGGTTTACGTAATGGAAATTGTAAAATTTCCGGGTTATGTCATGTAAACCGTAAAATTTCCAGTTTCCATTTCATAAAGAGGAAATTTTTCCGGGATATTTCCGGATCAAATGGAAACCGGAATGTTTACGGTTTACGTCATGTAAACCGGAAAAATTTCCATTTCGTAAATCGGAAATTTTTCTGGTTTACATAACCTAAACCGTAAAATTTCCAGTTTCCATTTTGTAAACCGGAAATTTTTCCGGTTTACATGACGTAAACCGTAAAATTTCCAGTTTCCTTTTCGTAAACTGGAATTTTTTCCCGGTTTACGTAACATAAACCGTAAAATTTCCAGTTTCCATTTCGTAAACCGGAAAAATTCTGGTTTACGGAATGTAATGTGAATACAAAAGACGACTTGTGGAGGTTAAAGATTTTTTTAATTTTGATTAAATTCATATTTACAAAGCTTAAAAGTCAGCTACTGCTGGTCTACAACTACAGTTCATCAATATGCAAGACTATTCCACTGTTTGATTTTCCCTTTACCTTAAGTTCTTAACCCTATAAAGGTTGGGGGTCTGACACTATGTATAGCCTGGGGGGGGGCGTTGGACGCCCAACCTAGAAAATGCCTTAGAGAATAGGTATAGGGTTGAAATGCATGTTCATAGCCAAATATTTCAAGGCCAGCTCATTGCAGAAAAAATTAGACATATAACTTAGGTTGCTGGCTTGGGTGCTAGGAAGGGTTGAAAAAATGCCAAAAAAAGGTTCAGAAAAATGAAAATAAAAAATATTTTTTTTGTTTTAAACAAATATCAAAGTGTGACCCATGTTTTTACATCTATTTTTCAAGGGCTTTTTAAAAATATAGTTTTTAGATCTGTAGCTTTAGTCATAAACAAATTATGGGCTATTTTAGATTTTTTTTCAAAGATTAGACTTTATCCGCCCTGTCCCACCCCTATGCATTAAAAAAAAAAAATTTAAAATCCTTTAAATTTCTATTCATTTAAAGTCACAAAATTTCACTATGAGAGTGTCAAAAATGAGAGTACTAGGTGAAAAAACTACTGTAATTCTGATACCTTATTCCGAAAATTCCGGAACGATTTTTCCGGAAACTTTCCGAAACGAAATTTCGGAAATTTCCGGAACGTTCCGGAATTCCGGAAAATTCCGTAATTCCGGTACAACGTTCCGGAAATTTCCGGTTTACTGAAAAAAAACGTTCCGGAAATCATTCAGGATTTCCGGAACCTTTTTCATAATGGAAATGGTAAAAATTTCTTGATCATTTCCGTACGTAAACCGTAACCCAGAATTCCGATGGAAACCCTATTCACTACACTACACTACACTTATACCTTGGAAAGATGAGGAGATAGCTGATAATATTTAGTACACTTTTTACCTTGAAATGATAAGGATATAGCTGATAATATTTCGTACGCATAATATATTTTACCTTGGAAAGATGAGGATATGGCTGATAATATTTCGTACACTTTTTACCTTGAAATGATGAGGATATAGCTGATAATATTTCGTACGCATATTCCAGATTTGAACCCTTGGAGGGGCGGACTGGAGTCAGGAGGAAATAAACTCCAAGAATAGGAACTAAAAATGTTTATGAATTATTATTATTACGCCTTTTGACCAGAAGTGTCGACCCTTGATTCCCCCAGCAGAGGGATGTTAGGATACTTTACGTCCCAAAATTTAGTGAAATAACGACCCACTCTGCAACATTTTCATGAATAAAAAATTGTCCATTTTTATCTAAAAATACGATAAAATTGTGTACAACTACTTTTTTGGGAAACCAAAAATGTTACTTGACCACGAGTTCCCTTAACTTCCCCGTAATGTAGTTGTACCAAGTTGATATATTATCCCAACGCTTATAATTGGGGTAACAAAAGTCGGAAAAAAGTTTTTATTATTTTAACCTTTTTTATTTGGAAAAAAGCTAAATAGATTCATATTTTCCTAGAAAAAGCGCTGCTTTAGCTTGTTTCAACGTTGCCTGATTTCGACTGTTTCTCCTAAAAAATGACAAAATTTTATTTTTATTTGAATATTCATAAAAAATTTGTTTTACTCATATTTTAAAAAAGCATATTTTTTTTTGGCGGGGGGGGGAGGGGCAGGGGTAATTCAAGACAGCATTTTTAAAAAATAAGCATAAATATATTCAATGTAAAACTTTAATTATGATTGATGTTTATTATTTTAAACTAAAATTATCAATTAGTGTTTGAAATACCTAAGGTCTACATTATTCGGTTTCCACGATATAAAGATAGAACCTCGCAGAGTCTGTGGCAAAGACTTAATTCCTTTTAACCAAGTCAAAATGGCAAAGTTCAAAATTGTCAAAAATTTCTTAATTGTTCACGTAGATATCTAACAGTTTATTATCAAAAAGATATAGGATGTATTTCTTTCTCATAAGACATATCAAGTATTTTGTCTGATGAAAAGAATTGACAATATTGCAAAATTGATAAAATCAGAAATCTGGATCCACTATATATTGTGAAGATTCCCTTTAAAATGAGTAATTCTTATTACTATGTATGCTGCAGGCCTGATATAAATGTTTAGATTCGTCCCAAATATTTATGAAAATCTCTAGTTTTAGCAATATTTAGATATTTAGATACCTGACATGGGTCTGATGTTCCAGACTAAGTTTCGATCTAAAATATAAACCAAGTAAATACAAATATAAAAGAGTTTAGAACTAACTAGCTGAAGTGCTCGGCGTTGCCCGTGGAATTAAAAGAATCAAATTATTTTTTTAATTCGATACTCGACTCGAATCTTTGCAGCCTTATGAAGTTATGTTAATGTAGATCTAAGGTTTTATAGTACCAGCCAGGTGCATCCTAGAGTACCTAGAGGTGCGTCCTTGAGGACCTATAAATACATCCTGGATTACCTAGAGGTGCATCCTTTAGAACCAGACAGGTGCATCCTAGTACCTAGAAGTGCATCCTAGAGGACCCAGAGGTTCGTCCTATGGACCTAGAGGTGCGTCCTAGAAGACCTAGAGGTGCGTCCTAGCGGACCTAGAGGTGCATCCTAGAAAACCTAGGGGTGCGTGCGTCCTAGACAACCTAGAGGTGCATCATGTAGGACCAGACAGGTGCATCCTGGAGTACCTAGAAGTGCATCTTAGAAGACCTAGAGGTGCGTCCTAGTGGACCTAGAGGTGCATTTTAGAAAACCTAGGGGTGCGTGCAACCTAGATGACCTAGAGGTGCATCCTATAGGACGTCAGACAAGTGCATCCAAGAGTACCTAGAAGTGCATCTTAGAGGACCTAGAGGTGTGTCCAAGAGAAACTAGAGGTGCGTCCTAGAGGACATAGAGGTGCATCCTAGAAGACCTATAGGGGTGCGTACGTCCTAAAGGACGAAGAGGTTCTTCCTTCTCTGGAAGAGGGGGTTAGAGAAATGTACTTGCGCTCCAGGACTTGAAGGTGAAATAGCATTACAGAGAAATGATAATTAGGGGATACAGGTTGGTATATTACATTACATTACATAAATAGGTATATCACTGTCAACATTTTCACCATTTTCAGTTCTACATAAATATAAAGAGTTGTAATTTATGGTGAGAAGCCAGTTATAATTTTAACAAATAAATCATCTTGATTTAAAAAAAAATAATTACAATCTGTAATATAAGAAAAAAATACACTATGATCACTAAATAGTGAAACCCCATAAAACCAATCTTATTAAATGAAAAGCTATTCAAGAAACACAAATTAAAAAAATTTTCATCGGTCTCTTCTTCTTAGAAATCTTAATTATATTGGTAGAACCCCTGTACTAACCTCAGTAGCCTAATTATATTGTTAGGACCCCTGTACTAACCTCAGTATCCTAATTATATTGTTAGGAACCCTGAACTAACCTCAGGATCCTAATTATATTGTTACGAAATTCTCTACTAACCTCAGTATCCTAATTATATTGTTAGGAACCCTGTACTAACCTCAGTATCCTAATTATATTGTTAGGAACCCTGTACTAATCACAGTATCCTAATTATATTGTTAGGAACCCTGTACTAACCTCAGTATCCTAATTATATTGTTAGGAACCCTGTACTAACCTCAGTATCCAAATTATATTGTTAGGACCCCTGTACTAACCTCAGTATCCTAATTATATTGTTAGGACCCCTGTACTAAACTCAGTATCCTAATTATATTGTTAGGAACCCTGTACTAGCCTCAGTATCCTAATTATATTGTTAGGACCACTGTACTAACCTCAGTATCCTAATTATATTGTTAGGACCCCTGTACTAAACTCAGTATCCAAATTATATTGTTAGGAACCCTGTACTAACCTCAGTATCCTAATTATATTGTTAGGAACCCTGTACTAATCTCAGTATCCTAATTATATTGTTAGGAACCCTGTACTAACCTCAGTATCCTAATTATATTGTTAGGAACCCTGTACTAACCTCAGTATCCTAATTATATTGTTAGGAACCCTGTACTAACCTCAGTATCCTAATTACATTTGTTAGGAAAACAATGTTGACAATGATGACAATAAGAACTGGAATGCCAAGGAAGTAACTGCTCTCTCTGGAAGAAAAAAAATAAAACATAAAACAGTTTTATGATTTAACAGTTTAACATTTAAATAGTTAAATAGTTAAACAGTTTAACAGTTTAACAGTTTAACAGTTAATGAGTTTAAAAGTTTCAAAGTTAAACGTTTTATGAGTTTAACAGTTAAACAATTTAATTGCTTAACATTTTAACAGTTTACCAATTCAACAATTTAACAGTTTAACAATTCAACAGTTTAACAATTTAATAATTTAACAATTTAACAGTTCAAAGGATTAACAGTTTAACAGTTAAACAGTTTAAATGTTTAATTGTTTCGCAGTTCAAACGTTTAACTGTGTAATTGTTTAACAGTTTAACAGTTTAATTGTTTAACAGTTATCAAATAAATAAAGACAGAAAGTTTTTTTTTTAATTTAAGTAACAAATTAAAGTCTCGTGACAGATTTAATCAATAAAATTTAGGTACAGTCGTCGTCACATATATTAACACAATAAAAACTATTTTCGATTTTAGTTTTGATTTATGCCAAGCTTTTAAATAACATGCAATAAACTACTCGTTATTTAAGCTTTATTATAATTGACGACATTGTTCCGCATTTTTCTTTACTGTAGTCATGTTGTGTTTCTGTACCAAAAGAGTGTGCGTGTGTGATGCCGAACTCGTCTGCAAAGCAGTTCGACTGGCTTTCTCATGCCAGACCATGGCCATTTCCCTTCCCTTAATTCTAATTCCCTGCTTTACTTTCATAATTGTCTAATTCTTACATCATTGCAACCTAAGCTTTTAGACTTTTAATTTCAAAATTTGCTAGCTCAACTAGTCAAAGTTTTGAATATTAAAGTTCTAGGGGAACAGTAAGCTCCTACACTATTTACAAATTGAGTCTTTGCCTCAAACTCAAAATTGTCTTAAGCCTTGTGTTTTTGTAAACTTGATAGTGTAGACCTTTGATATTTTAAACTTAGGTTATCCTTTCTAGTATAACTAGCCTTAGAGGGCGCTTTGCGCCCATCTTCTAAATTAATTATGAACATATTCTCTTTGTGTACATGGTAAAACAAAACAAAAATATTTCGCGGATTTTCACAAAAAATTTCGTGGATTTTCAAAATTTTTAAATATTGAATGAAGATCAAATTTTGATGGAGACAAATATTTGAAATTTTGATCATTCATAAACCTTCCCTGTGGTCACGTAATGTCCCACAAAAAATTTGGGCCCGATCGGTTCAGCCGTTTTAACGTTTATTGGATACAAACAGACAAACAAACAAACACCCAGACAAGCCAAATTTATATATAGATACAAAGTTTGAAATATGTATGGACTACGACGTACATAGAGTTGTAAACCATATAGGGATTAGAAAATTTGAGTTTGTGCAAAGACTAAATTCCTTAAATAACTTATTCTTCGAAAACAAAATCAAGTTAAAGGGACCGTTCACTTATTTGGGTAATTTCAGGGTAAACTAAACAGCCTATTCGCTCTTGATTGGTAATAGTCTTACTTTTACTTTTACTGGCCGGAGAAAAAAGCCGATTTTTCGTTCAGAATTTGAGCGGAAAGTGACGGTCATTCTCTAGTCTCTATGGACACTATTTTTTTTCAGTAACAGCAGCCCAATTACATTTAAATCTATTTTATTTTAATTTCATTATGTGTTCGTTATTATGTACTAAAATATGAAAACTTTTGATATTTGAGTTAGCAAGAAATTTACGTTTTTCGTATTAAAACATGTAAAATGTGTATACAAAGACGACGTCTCTACGACAATCAATTAATCATTACTCGTATTTTGGTTCGTAGATTT